TTCCGACTTTATTGAGGAACAGCTGTAGTTTAAATCGATAGGACCAAGACTCTTTTTCTCAAAAACGGATTATATAAAACAAGAGTAAATTTTAGGCTACCTACTTATCTACTAAAAAGGCTGGTACCATGTGGGGATCTCAATTACAGGAATCTCAGACATAACTCTGACTTCAATATACCTAGTTATAGGAGCAACATTTTCCATCGTAGCTTCACCTACAACGCTGTCAAGGTGTATAATAGTCTTAATGACAATTACAAAAAGAAGGGAATACTTGCATTTAAGAGAGCCATTAAGAACCATCTTCTGTGGTCTGCTAGCCAAGATGGCTGATATATTTTTTTTTGTCTTTATTGTTTTTTTTTGTTAGAGCGGGCTATGTAGAATAGATGTACAACATATTAAGATTAATCTATTTAAGCCTTAATTATTGTATTTATTATTTAGTCGATTGCTATTAATTGTTATATCTTTCCTTTTGTATGTGTTCCTGCGCTGTGAGATTAAGTGGTAGAGTAGCCAGCTGGCTAAACTTCGCCTCGCAGTGTGGATGGATGAATAAAGACATTATTATTATTATTATTATTATTATTATTTAGAGTCATTATTATACAGGACATCAGCAATGTTTCGGTAGTCCGTCCCTGATGATCTTAATGAGCTGATTATTTTCAATGAATGCCATTAAGTGGGGCTTTCACTGCTCACAAAACTTTCAGTATTTCGTTTTGAATTAGGGGCCTGAATCTTCGTTGTAGCAATATTTTTGTGTGTTCTCTATGCATACGATAGATTGACATGATATTCTGGAACACCCTGTATAACTCCTTTGATATTTTTGTGGCGATTTTTCAAGGATCAAGTATACTCAAGCAATGTGCAGATGATTAATAACATGAAACAAAACATGTATTCAGACCTGTGTCAAAAGGTTTTTTACTCGAAGAATCTGAAGATACTGCTGGAGAGGGGAACTCCCAGACTTCTAAATTCTGCTAATATAAACAGACATACAGGGTGGCGCATTCAAGACGAAACAGACGCATTTACTGGCAGCTCAGTTTTTTTTGGAAAAACGCTCAGATCCGTCGATTTTGTGTTCGAGGGGGACACAAGTTTGGCAAAAAATCGCGTTAACACGTGCAGCCCCCTGGGCGGGGGTGACACCAACCCTAAAATCTTAAATGGAACGGGGGGTCTAGTGATACCTTATTTTAAGGGTCTTTCAATTCCCAATAATGATGTAAAATACATGAGCTTCAGTTCAGTAGTTTTGAAGATTTAGTGATTTAAAGCTTAAAGTAGACTTTAATAGGTACATCAAATCAGTTTGTACTACTTTCAGAAGAAATGTGACTAAAAGAATTTAGTTAATAAGTAAATGCTTTTCTTTACTACGCCCATGGTTTGTTTATCATTTTGTTGTTGCAAATAGCTATTGGAGGGTTTTTTCTGGCAAAAAAGTTATTTCTTGAAGAAAGATAAGGAAATATTTCGTACTTATTTAAAACAGGAATTTAGTACATAGTTTGCGATTGATTTGACCAACCTTTGTTGCTAAAATAACTTGTAACGCTTTATTACATAAATTAACCATGGCATATTCCACAGCAGAAAGAGTTTAAATTGTCGAAATATTTTTCGGAAATAATCAGTGCGCTTATAGAACAGCAGAAATATTTAATGAGCGATATGAGAACAGTAACGCGCATCGAAAATATGTTCTAGAACTTGTAGCTAAGTTTCGGGAAACTGGGTCAGTCGCCAATAAAAAACGCAACATTGAAAATCCCATAAGGACGAAGCAATAGAAGTGGGGGTTTTAGGGCAAGTTTATGTAGATCGTACGTTAAGTACCCGCAAATTGGAGACTGTGTGTGGTATTAGTCGACGTACTGTCCAACGGATTCTAAAGGCCCATAGTGTTCATCCGTATAAAACTCACCTGGTACAAGAACTTAATGAAGACGATTTTGATCGGCGATTTCAATTTTGTGAAGATATGAGTGAACGAATTATAAACGATGAACATTTTCTATTCAACACTTGCGTTTCCGACGAATGTTCCTTTTTCTTAAATGGCGTAGTAAATCGTCATAACTGCCGATATTGGTCCGATTCTAATCCCAGAATTTATCATGAGGTTCATACACAGCAGCCACAAAAATTAAATGTTTGGGCTGGTATTTTTGGCGATCATTTAGTTGGTCCTTTTTTCTTACCTGGAAATTTGAACGGTGAAATGTATTTGGAATTACTAGAAGACGCCATAGATCCTGCATTAACAGCCACATTACGCATTACGTGTTCGACAAAATTTAGATCAGACGTTTCCAGATCGATGGATTGGTAGAAGAGGTGCCATCGAATGGCCCCCAAGATCGCCAGATTTATCACCTTTGGATTTCTTTATGTGGGGTCATTTAAAAAGCAAAATCTATGCTACTCAGCTAACATCATTAGTAGACCTGCGACAAAGAATTGTAAATGAGGAAATGCCTTCAAATTACTTTGAGCAAAATCTTTATTATTGCATGGAGAGTCATGGTAGCCATCTTCAACATTTACTTGCCTAACGGGTCAGTTCATTCTTCATTTTTAAATTACTTTGCTGCCAAATGTATTGATTTCCACTAATGATGATTTTATTTAAGCTTTAAATCAATAAATCTTCAAAACTACTGAACTGAAGTACATTAATTTTATATCATTATAAAGTTAATTGAAAGACCTTTAAAATGAGGTATCACTCGACCCCCCTTTCCATTTAAGATTTTGGGGGTGGTGTCACAGCCGCTTAGGGGGCTGCACGTGCTAACGTGATTTTTTGCCAAGCTTGTGTCCCCCTCGAAAACAAAATCGACGGGTCTGAGCATTTTTCCAAAAAAAACTGAGCTGCCAGTTTCGTTTTCGATGCGCCAGCCTGTATGTTCCAAAATTAGTATCATTTATAAATAAAATTTCAAAGTACCTATTGGAACACCGTTTATGTCAGTTTATCATTACATTGTAGCCCTGTTCGTACAGCTGTCACCAACCTGTCAGTGATCGTGTCCAAGATCCCGTCACACAAATTTCGTTCATTCTTCTAGGCTCTATAGACATAATTCACACGACCAGATCCGAGACACAGTCACCGACAAGTTACCGATCACTGTACGAACAAACCTTGTAACTTACTGTTTTCTTGTTTTTGATGGTGCTTGAAGTGATGACACCATGAATCATTACAGACTGAAACCAGAACACCAAATTCTGGATGACATACATTTTTACGTAAAAACATACATAAACGGTATTTCCTTATACCGGTATACATGGAATCAGTGAGTCATTTTGTTTGCTTAATTTTTCGTCATAATTGTTATTAGATAAAACCTGGCTGATATATGTATATAGATGTTTCATGAAAAATGATATATGATATACAACAATATTGACAATAGGTATTTCTGTCGGAATATCGTCGTAGCTTTAGATACCGGGAGATATGGATGAATTGATGCAGAACCTTTTCTGTGATAAAGGATATACGTATAACAATAAAAATAGAATAAGGTATGCCCTAAAAGCTTTGGCACAAAATATTTATCGTCATCTATAATAAAATAATGAGCCGTAAGCATATCCTCGGAAGCATAAGGTAAAAGTATAAGGTCTTGCTTCGGAGAAAAAGGTAGAAGTATAAGCATATCCTTGTTTTCATATTCATAATGATTACATTATACTGGCGAGGATATCCTCCAAGAAGTAATAGGTTGACTGGTATTTGTATCTTGAGCGACATGTCCTGACTTGTTCCAGCTTGTAGTTGACGTGGGAGTTCCTTCACTCAGCATCACTGACAGTTCTACCCCAGAGCTTACACAGACCGTTCCGTATTTTTACTGGATACAGTTTTTTATCAAATTAATAAACATGTCATCCTCAAGTGATGAGGAAACTATAGAAAATAATGGCAACGACCTGCAGTTCATCGCAGATAAAATTGCCGTTGCTCCCATTATTTTGCAAAAGTCACAAGTTCCAAAAATAAAAATGAGAAAGGACGATGCCTTGAAAAAGATGTTGAAAAAATACACCTACGAATCAACATTCGGTAAACCGTTAGATACTAAAGGCTTATTAAAGAAATCAACAGCATGAAGATTGAAGAAAGAAACAGATCTAAAAAAACTGGCAATAAAGCAATTCAATTGTTAGATTGGAAAAGAAAGTTGCTGAAAGCTATGGAAGGTGACTGTAATCCTACAATTGGGAAAATTAGAAGTGCCATTCAGGTTGGTAGTGTTCACGAAGAAGGAAGTGAACTATTTACCTAGCGCAGTGAGCAAACAGTTAGTATTACAGCGCCACCAATTCAGAAGACATTGCCACCAAAAAAGAAAATTAGCAACAGAGAAATACGAAACTGAGGAAACCAAAGTGTTAACGAAAAAAGAACTGCAACCTCTAGTGCTATTACAGCAGTACCAAACAAGTATTTTACAACAAGAGTATTATAAAACGAAATTAGAAATGATGCAGCGTCAGAAGCCACCTGTAACTTATGATCTTGACGAAAATAAAACTTATTATAACTTATAAATAAACTTTAATCAGTTAAACTATTTATTATAATATTCAAGTTTCTTCTTATTTGTTGACCTAGTTGACGGAGAGAAAGTTCTCATTCTCATGATTTCCTTCATCTTTATCTGTGTCTTGTTTAACTAACTCAAAGTCAGGATCGCCCAAGCTCTTCGCAACATTATGGAGTACAATACAAGCAATAATTATTTTCGGCACATTTTCCAACTTTACGCGGCAAACATACTGTAGGATAGGAAACCGGCGTTTCAGTTGGTCGAACCAGCATTCAATGATAAATCTTGCTTGTTTTAAAAGCTCATTATAATTTATTTCTCCACCTGGAGTAGGATTTCTGAAGAGAGTCATAAGGCATGGCTCAATACCATAACCGTCATCGCCTAGTAGTACAACATTTGCTTTGTTTGTTAGTGATATACGAGTAGTCTGTGAATTTCTCCATATTCTGGAATCATGCACTGATTCAGGCCAACTGACATCAACACTTGTGAACATCTCTCTGGCATCACAAGCACATTTAAAGTAGGTTTCCCTTTTCGGTTGATGTACTCATCTCCATGGCGATTTGGTTTCAGGATTCCTATATGTGTACAATCGATTACACCAATCGCTGTCGGAAATTTATACATGCTTTGCCATATCCGCTTGGCCTCCATCAGTTCAGGATTGATAGATGGAAACTTGATCCATTCGTTCGACTGTGCAACTATGCACAATTCTATCCACAGTCCGAGATACCGTTGCTTAACTAACACCAAGTTCCTGAACAATACCTTGTTGATATCCATTCTCACCGAGATAGCGTAGACATATCTTCAATTTATGAATACATGAAAGTGCTCCTCCTCGAGTTTCTTCATTCTCAATTAAAAATCTGTCCGCAAGCCATTGCACATTTGCTTCGTCGAACCGATATAATTTTTTTAAGTCACGACCAAGTGAGGATAAACGAGGTTTGTACGTTTTAACATCCCTAACATCCACAATTTCCGCCATCATACTGACCACACTCAGAATATTTGAAGGATATGCTTTCTATGCCAAGTATAAGGTGAAGATTATGAATATCCTGTTACTTATGTCACTGCTTTGAAGGATATGCTTATACTCAAAAATCAAATGCATTTACTTCAAATTATTATAAATACCATCTGGAGGATTTCCTTCAAGATTTGCAAGTACAAGGAAATCCTTTGTTTTATGAATACGGCTCATTGATTTTTTCATTGGCAAAGCGTACCCGTCTCAGATATTTGAAATGTTTATTAAACTATATTTTATGGAACAATACATCTTAAAATTGCTTAGTTCGCAACTGAAACCTCGTTTGCCAAAAGATGCAATAACGTTGTTCCATGAATTTAGTGGTGTTTGCTGATACAGCGTGTAACTTAGACATCTAATATGTTGGTGTTCACAGACTTGTCATGAATCTATGGCTTCAGAAGACTCCGCAGCTAAACATTTAAAGTTATTATAAGGGCATGTGAAAAATTGCATAAAAAATATCAGATTTGCGGGAGACCATACATAGCCGATTTTCCTATCCCTAATAGGATTTCCCGGCACTAGAATTTCGTGATGGCGATATGTGAAATCAGCGTCCTAAGTTACCGGGTATATCCAGATTCACTTCTAGACTCGGAGGCAAAAAATGAAAATGTTACAAACTCTTAAGTTTTTGACACTTTAAGATCATGTTCGTATTCGGAATCAGCGTCAACATTTACCCCGATCCTCGGTACAAGAGGCTCGTTCACAACTGATATTTTATTCATGTCTTCCAGGTGAAACCTCGTTTGTTTATACTTTCCACGCCTACTGGCGAACATTACATTGGATATTATGTGTTTTGGATGTGTATGCACATCACGAAAAACCATGTCACTCAAATGCGTCGGTCTGTCTGTCTGTCGGTCTGTCCGCTAATCTTATAGCTACCTATAACTTGAGAAGTACCGCTGGGATTTCTATAAAAATTTTCACACAAGACTGCTCTACCAAGGACAAGAAAGCTTTGAAGTAGAGTGGAGGCGGAGAAAAAGGCCAGAAACAAAAAAAAATAAAAATCGAAAAGAAATTTCAGAAATTTCCGTTGAATCTTCTCCAGAGAGCCACAAGTTGTAACATAGCATGGATTCCATATTAGCCGTCCATATTCTAATTTAGACAGTATGAATAAATTATAAAGCATAATCATCGCATCTTTGTTACTTAATTCCTTTGAGTTACGTATTACAAATCCTAATAATCTGTTGACAGCATTAATAAGGTACTCAATATGAGGATTGAAGCTAAGTGACATGTCAAAAATCACACCCAGGTCCTTGCATTATTTTACTCTCAGCAAAGAATGATTGCCAATTTTGTAGTCAAATGCAGTAATATCTAGCTTTCTTGTGCAAGACATAACACTACATTTACTGTAGTTGATTTACAGCACACCATTTAACTATTTTTGCTAGGTCTTTTTGTAAGCGAGCACAGTCAGTGCTGCAGTCGACATTGGAAAAAAATTTCCGATCATCAATATAGATTAAGTGGCTGCTGTCGATGTCGCTAACAATATCGTTTACGAACAGTATGAAAAGCAAAGGACCTAAGCCGGAGCCTTGAGGTACCCCTGAGGTGGGGAAGAATTCAATGGATATTCAACATATTGCTTTCTTCCTGATAGATATGACTTAAGAAAGGATGACAGCTTGGGGGAGAATCCAAAATAGCTCAGCTTCGTTAATAAAATACTGTGATCAAGTTTGTCAAATGCTTTACTAAAATCTGTATAAATTACATCCACCTGACTATTAGCATCTAATGCAGAAGAGACTGTCTGAGAAAAACAGGCTAGGTTAGTTATGGTTGATCTACCCTCCATAAAACCATGCTGAGAAGTACTTATTTGGGAATGTATATTGTGGAAATTATGAAGCAAAGGCAAAGGCCTTGGAAAAGATACATACTAGGATTATCGGTCTATAATTTTCAACCTGTAGTCTATCACCCTTCTTTGGGACGCACCTTTGATTCACACCAAATTTCAGGAAACGTATTAGTCTTTAAACATAGTTTGAATATCTTTGACAAGGGATGAGCTACGACGCAGGTAAATTTATTTTTCATTTGCTTTAACGCTTTAAAAACTTCTTCTTCGGAAAAGCTCTGAAGTATTTTTTGACGATGGTATATTTATACGCTTCCAACCCCAGTAATTTTACTTACATTTTAGGCATGTTTCACTCATCATATATTTACCCTTAAAACTTCTACAGTCGGATGTCGATACTCGCGACGTTGTCCCCCGATGGACAAGCGCCGTCGTCGGTGGTCGTACGTTACAGTCGGCAATTGCTTCCACACTACTGTGGCCTGCGTGCACCGTGCATGGTGAAGGCCAATATCGTGATTCTCGCGAGACTGGTTATCGCAACGATCATGTGCGCCTGTAGAAATTCCTCTGAGGGGGAGGAGAAAGGTCATTTAATTTTTTGTTACATATGTTCGTGGCTAACTTTTTTTCAAAAGGGCCAAACATAATCCTTTACGACTGATGATAGCGTAACGTGCGAATTACAGAGTCACCTTACTTGACGCCGTTTTTTCAATAGTCTGAAAGATCCGTAACATGCCAAAATTGCGCAAAGCCTTCATTCCAAATTTTAAGATGGCTCCACGCAAAACCAGCAAAGACCAGGACCGCCTGGGGTAAGTATTCCCAATCACAAAAGGACGTCTTGCCCCCAAAACGAGCATGAGGTTATCTGACGAGTCTTCAATGTACCAGACACATCACCCAATGTTCCGAAAAAGCCTTAAAAAAATGCGAAAACCACCTAGGGCTGTTGTACTGGGCTAGACATCCTTTTGGGAGCGGGAGTGCCTACCCCAGGCGGTCCTGGTCTATGCTGGTTTTGAAAATGAAAAGAAAAAACAAAGTGTCACCTGGAAGACATAAATAAAATATTTTAAAAAGTGTCAGGTACTGAAGACGGTCATCGTTGTGAACGAAACGTATAACTACATTAAAGAAGAATTTCAAACACAGACAAACTTGGGGATTTTCGACACGAAACCACAAGTTTAAGATATTACATTAAAAATGCTGAGTTGGCATTGATGCACGTTCTGGGTAATACAACGTTTTCGGTTGAATGCACTGAATACCAACTTACATAGGTTGTGTGTTCAATAATAATCCAGTGTCACAAACCGGCTTCACGAACTGGTCTACACATCCTCCACGTAAATTTCTTAGATTTTGGATTGTAGGTATGTTTTCAGTATTTTCCAATTGTGTTCAAACGTATAGCGTTCCATTTCAAAAGTGTCATGTATCAAGTACCTGCCTCAAATTTTTTTGAAGAGCAGATGCGTGTCTGCTCCTAAACCCTTTTGAAAAACGGGGTTCTAAATTTTCTCAGGGAGGTAAAATCCAAAAGACCTCCAAAAATGTACACAAAATCATGCTAAAAATGTAAATTTTAAGGTCTATCGGGTTTCTCATGGGTAGCCACGGCACCCCTAACTAATTTGACATTTTGGAATCCAGTAACGACATAAGCGTTAGTTTAAATTTCAAACACCGGATGGCTGACCCTGTATATCATCTGCTACTTCTTTTTCTTGCTTTATCCCTTAATTTTTTGCTCCAGGTTTGTTCAATTTTTACTGTCACTTGTGAAACATGAAGGTTGACCCTCGTAGTTAGATATAAAAGTACTGGCGGTACCATTTGCTATTTCTAGTTTCGTGCCATTTCCTGTTTGCATGGGAAATGAAACCAATTATTTTGTTACCTCAACAGACACATATACAGTGCTTTTCAGAACGCCTCCTACTTATTTTTTGAACGGATCAAGTTAGCAAGCTGAAATTCGGGATAGTGAAACTAATGCATGGAAACCATATTTTAACGCTTAAATGTCAGATGAAAATTTTAAATAGAATGGGAGGTCATTTGGTATCTCATTTTAAAGATCCTTACTAGTGCTTTATAACCCTACAGCATAAATCTGATGTCTGTCAAACACAGGCTCAAACACTCGTGTGTACCGTGGGACTATAGGTGGAGACAGGGGAAAGGGGGCCTCGCCTTAGAGATCCGCCGGGTGGTACCTCCACGTTTGACAGAGACCGTCATCCATTACATAAATAACTCATACATACAACCGATAATTTTGAGCACATACAGCTATTAAATTATCTAGGTGCTTCATGATATGGAAAAAAATGTTATACCAGCCCTTGTAATAATCCTTCTCATGGAAATGCGCAATCGTTGAAATATCCCAGGAGTGTTTTTTATTCTATCACAAGCTGCAACTATTCTTTCTCTTAATTTCTCTACAGTGTTAATGGGACTTGTGTACACCTGTGTCTTAAGATAGCCCCACAAAAAGAAATCTAAACTGTTGAGGTCTGGAGACCTTGGTGACCATTCTTGGGGCCCACCACGGCCAATCCAACGATTTGGATAAACAGTTTGTAAATAATTACGAACCGCTACACTGGAATGCGCAGGTGCACCATCATGCATGTACCACATATTGTTTCTTATTACTAACGGAACATCATCAAGCAGCAAAGGCAACTGTTGTTATAGAAAATTGAGGTAAGCCTGTCCGTCAAGTCGTCCCGGCAAGAAGAATGGGCCAATAAAGTGGTCGCCAATAATTCCTGCCTATACGTTAACCAAAAAGTGGTGTTGGAAATGGGTTTCGGTTACGGCATAGGGATATCCTTCTGCCCACAAATGATTATTGTGGAAATTCTGAATGGCATTTCGAGAAAAATTAGCTTCGTCCGTGAACAGAATC